ATTGCATTATGCAGAATCAATAAAATCCTAGCCTCCTTTTCTTTTTCTTTATTTCTTTGGATTGTTTAACGGTGCGATGCGATCAGCTTTGGAAGAAGGCTCTCTTGGTTTGTGATGCAATGCTTCTATAAGAAGAAATGGTGATCCGAGGCGCTGAGTTTACCAAAATAGGAATGGTACAGGTCGCATTGACAGTGACGAAGAGGAATCAGAATTCGGACCATTGGGTAATAGATTTGAAATAAAGACTGTTAGTTCTTCGATGGACCATATTCTTTTTCCCCAAAGAAATCCCACTCAAATATCAGTTAGGTAGCCTGATTCAGAGCTAGTTTCACTTCAAGCGTAACTTTGAAACTTATAAATTGAGGAAGTTTTGCATTTAGGAATTGTTCTCGTTTGCAATTGCCAAAAAACTTCATGAAGCCCGTTCTGTATATTGGGGGATCGGAAAATGTGCTGTGCATGGTAATGGAAATATTCTGTAGAAGTGGTGGATTCATTTTACATTCTCTAAGAAGTGTGTGTGTGTGTGTTCGACATGCTTATAAATTGAGTGTTACGAAGAATGAAAGACAGAAGAAAATAAAAAAATAAATCTAAACAGATTAACTAAGAGAAAATACCAAATCATGGCCATGAACAAACACTTCTTTCATACTCTTAGGTGTGAATTTAATCGAATTTGCATGAGTTGGCGTTGCACCTAACAAACCCTTTACTACTTCACATTTAGTCATGTTTGGTGAGGTGAATTGTATAATACTAGACCCCGGCCCTATTGGTTCTCAAGAAGAAATGATCCCACTCGTGCTCTTGTGTTGTTCCAAATGTATAATACTTCCAACTATTTTCTTGATCAAAATCATTACTAGAATTCCTGCCCTCTCTAATCTGTCTCAATTTCTCCACTCTTTCAAGAACTCCTTTTATTGTCAAGTCAAATGCATCTTCAACCGTCTTCAATCTAGCCCTTGGATCTGCATAAATCACCTTAGGAATCAGCTTTATTACCTCCTCCCTCATTTCTGATACCTTTTTTCGTGGAATTCGTGATAGAACTTGCTCAATTCTTATGTTGTTATTTTTCACGTCGTCTTCTGGTATGAGAACCGAGTACGTAGTGTAATCTTTTGGCAGGTGCCATAGATATTGGACATAGGCAGAAGCTGGAGTGAAGAAAACTGGAATGCAACCGGCCAAGATTGAATCGAATGTTGATCGCCTTGTGAATGAATCCCCTGGAGGCTGTAAGCAGAAAACTGAGTTTTGAAACATTTTCATTACATAAACTGGTTTAATGCATTTGTTGCTGCCGTTCCTGTTCTTGCATTCCAGCAATTTGCATTTTCCCCTTGAGGACGTGCATTGCTCCATGATCTCACTCCGGATTGAATCCTCCATTTTTGGACGTGGTGCACCAGCAAACGAAAACAAGGTAAGCCTTTTCATTCGTCTCATTTTGTTTTGCCATTGAAAAACTTGATCATCACTTGATGGATGGAAATAAGTTGGATATGGTATCCCGAAATCATTCTTGTTCCAAGGGCTCGACTCGATTGTTAACATTGTCATGTTCTGAGATTCTGACAACAACATAAACTTGTTTCCCCAAGCATTGTCCTCATCAACTACTCTTCTGAAATCCCACGTAATTCGACCTGCAACCAGGAAATGATCCATCCCCCCCATAGCATTCCACTCTGGTTTTTCCCTTAGCCATTTTACCAAATGAACAGCATCTGAATCTTTTACAGAAGTGTTGAAAGAATCCCACAAGTGGCGTGCAATGTCAAGCCCTGCGTAGTATGGGACGTAGATGGCTGCAGCTTGAGTTGAGTCATTTGTTAGGCATTTATACTGTTTCATTCTGTTATGGAATATAACTTCTAGTGAAAATTGATCGGTCACAAACCAGCCAGTGCTTAAGAAAATCTTTTGAGGGTTTCCAAGGGCCTGGCCAAGCCCCATGTTCGCGACATATTGGCACATATCAGTCCATTTGTTCAATAATTTGCATTGCTTAAGCAAATCATCATTGAATCTACTTGGCAGATCTTGAATATAAATATATCGACCTGTACATGGATTCAATTTCCTTCCACTTTCAGCCCATTTTTCTTGATCTTTATCAGCATACTTGTCGACTTGTTGCACTATTGGTTCCAATTCTTTTTGAAGTCCGGCAAGATCCTCGACTGCATCGTTATTTTCATCTTCCTCTGCATAAACTGCAGCATTTTTCGACGTATCATTGACATGGGACATTGTGCTAACATTTTGAATAGAATCTGAACCTAAATATACTACAGAAGTTGGTTGGTGGTGGGATATTGATGCAAATCGAGCGAGAGAAGACCAATCAATAACATAAAGCAATAGATACCAGGAAACAAATAAGACCAAAAATACGAACCAGATTTTCTTTCGAGATCTTGCAGGAATTGAATTATTCATATTCACTCTTGGCGTGGTTAGTAGGGACGATTAGATAATCTTGTTCATTACATTGTACATAAAGAAAAAAATTTGACAGAACGTTAGACGACAATGGACAAAATATTTTCCTGAAATAGATAAATTCTTTCCTTGGAACAGTGCAGAAATTGTTTGAAATGGTAAGAGAGCTAGAGAGTAGTAAGAGAAAAAAAGGGACTATGGATGGTTAATTGAAGGGACGCCATTCATATTCTTCCACTTGTCTTAATTATAGAAATAGTTAACGTTATTTATGTCAAAAAAGTCTAGGTACTAGTTTCGTATGAGTGGGGATTTTATCCTTGATTGTCACCATATTCGAATATACACTTGTATGTACACTAAAGCTACGTTTGATCTTAATTTTTTTCGTCATTATGATGAAAAATATGATTGTTGGAGTTACTTTTTTGAATTGCAACGATCATATTTTTCATTATGATGAGAAAAAAATGAGAATCAAATACACATTAAATATTTTTAGCAAGTAGAATATTCTATATATGATTGGGTATAATATTCACCTATTTAAGTAAGGTGGAGCATTAGACAAAAACATTCAAAGGATAGTACAACCCAACTAATTCCATCGCGTTATTATAGTTCAATGAATATTGCTATCATAGACAATAGGTTGAACACGGTTCAATTTGAGCAATTTGTAACAAATTTTCAAACTAAATTTCACGTTAAAACATAAATATTAGTACCATTACAAATATTATGAACAAAAGTTCTCACTTCTAATCATTACAATGCAACAACATGATATAAATAATTTAGTTCTAACATCTTAGTCGATATAAATTGGCATAACATTTCTAGTTGTAACAACATGAGTTCATTCTTTGCATAAAAATAAGAATATAGCAGATAAATTTATCAATTATAATTAGTAGATATAAAGGAACTAATAAAAGAAAACGAATAGAAAAATCAATCACGATACCACCTTCTACAATTTTCTCTGAATCATACAATGTTTCTACCTCATTCAAATATTGGTGAATCACTATAGGTTCTTTGTTAGTATGCAACTAATTTTTAGTGTAAATCATTGTCTCAACAATCTTTTTACTCAATGAACTCATAAGAAATCAAGAATGTGACAACTAATGGGGTATATAGATTCGGAAGCAATTGTGGATATTCGAATAGCTAACACATTGTTAACAATTTGAAAGGCAATCTTGTAGTTGTTTACATTCAATTTTCACCAAAATAATGTTGAAAAGCTTATAGATCATGACTATTTAAGTAATCTACCAAATCATTCTAACAATTAACGGTAAAATCTAACAACTAAATTAAAAAATTAATAATAAATTAAGTTACCTAACTAGGAAATTGAGATGCAAATAAAAAAATAAAATAAAATCATGTTCAGCTAAAAATTTACGGGAACTTGACACAAATTAGAATAAAACAACACAACTATTAATAACATATAGAAAATAATTATTAAAAAAGAAAAATTAGATAAACTGCCATGAAAATTGAGCGAAAATTCGAGAAATTTGTTACCAGAGAGAGAAAAAAAATAGTGAGTTTGAATTAAAATATAAATTTAATTTTCTACTCAATTGAAATGAGCAACAGATTAATATGGTTTAGAAGCAATCGTTCGACACTTCAACCAATTTGAGAGTTTTATATATACAATTGTGATAACGATGGTTCATTGGGTATGATTTAATTAAATAATCATGATGAATAATTGTCTAATTGGGTTGAATCTATTATGTATGTATCTTTTTAATTGGAATATATTTAAGTTTACTTGGGTTAGATAAATTTAAATTAATTTATTTTCAAATTTTTATTTTATTTCATTTTTTTTGTAAATGATTTGCAAAAATTGAAAATTAAATCAAACTACTTCAAAGCGGTTTGGTTCAATTCAAAATCAAAACATTGACGGAATCACGTGGACCCAAACCAATGGTTTAGAAAAGTAATTTTGATTTGATTTTGCAATTTGACGATTTAGTTGTTCAACCTTAATAGGCAGTCTAGATGGTGTTGCTATAGACAAAATCTATGAATAACATTACTCGTGGGAGAACTGATTGAATACGGATCTGGAGAGGGATAAGAGGTGAAGAGTTGTTGGTGGCAATGGTGGAGACTGGACTTGAGGAGTTGATGGGGGGTAAACTGATTGAATACGAATCTGGAGGCGAGCTATGGAGAAAACTCAACTGGTGGTGTTGACGCCTCTAAAGATGGTGGAGATTGGATTAGAGCAACTAGCAGTCTTGTAACACCGGACTCACGGTGGAGTTGTTGGCGTATGAATGGGAAAAGAGGTGAGAAAGGTGATGGCATTTTTTAGAAGAAAGGGTTTTTTTTTCCGACTATTTTTAAGGAGTGGGTGTGGGCTAAACCTGATTTTTTTATTAAAAAATTATTAATATCTTAAATTGAATAAAAAATGTTGGCATTGATGTAATTTTTTCTTATTATTAAGAGCCTATTTGGTACAAGTTCTCATTTTTTACAGTAAATCAATTCTCAATTTTAACCACACATTTTTCAATAAAATAATATTTTCTATCACATCAATACTTTTTTCTTCTTTTTCAACCACACATTTCCTATCATATTACTATTCAAAAATAAATTATTCCCCCAAAAATCTCTACCAAACACACTCTAACTTGCTTGAGGCCATGGACACTCTTCTAATATAATGGTTGGCCCATTAGACCTTTAAAAGTTGGTAATGTTGGGAATTTACTTAACATGTACAGAAGAAATCAAACAATTTTCAATTCCCAAACGAGGATCTGCAATGTGTTTAGATAGAAATTGTGATGAGAATGATACCTTTGATAAATTTCACAAACTCTTTTGCTTTTTCTTGAACTCTAATGATCACAATCTGTAATCCAAGTTGTCCAATTGTCCAGCCTCCAATAGTGATCCACACAGAGAACAAGAATGACAGTTAGGGTTTTCTTTTCTTGTGCTAGCAAGAATAATGGAAATTTTATATTGCTTTCAAACATTAGTAGCCTATTAATATGAGTCCAAATGGGCTCGGTCAATCTGTTAAACTTAACCCGGTCCAATATTTAATTAATCAAATTAATTAAATCTGATCCATGAATTAATTAATCCAATTAATTAATTCGGGCCTATTAATAAACAACCCAATTAATTAATTATCCAACACTTGTCAATTAATTAATTGGTAAATCTCATTCTTCTGATTCTCTTTTGTGTGTGACCCATTAGGTTCCCGATCACGATGCCGAACGACGTGAATTATTATTTTGATC